GGGCCGATTGTTTTGGATGACGATGATGATGAAAAAATTAACCGCCGAAACCGTAGAGAGTACGGCCTTGACGCTTGAGAGCATAGACGACGTCCATGGCGGTGACGGTCTTCCTCTTGGCGTGTTCGGTGTAAGTGACGGCGTCACGGATCACGTTCTCAAGGAACACTTTTAAGACACCACGGGTCTCTTCGTAAATCAATCCTGAGATACGTTTCACTCCACCTCGACGAGCCAGACGACGGATGGCGGGCTTGGTGATGCCTTGGATGTTATCACGCAACACTTTACGATGGCGCTTTGCTCCTCCTTTTCCCAATCCCTTTCCTCCCTTTCCACGACCAGTCATTTTTGCAGAGAATTAAGTAAGTACGTTCAAACAGAACAGAGAACAAACTCGGAATGATGCTTTGCTGTCTAAGGTCGCCGTTTTATTCCCTCTGGAGTTCCACTGCTCCCCTCCACGATTCGATCTACCAATCAGGATGTCAGTGTCCCCTTCCTCTTGACTAACCGGTGCAAGAGCTTTTGAAGGGTATAAATATGTGTGTTTTTGCCGCCGGAAGCATTATTTTTCAGTTGTTCCTCGTACTCTGAACGTCGAAGCAATGGCTCGTACCAAGCAAACCGCGCGTAAATCCACCGGTGGTAAAGCACCAAGGAAGCAACTCGCCACCAAGGCCGCTCGTAAGAGTGCGCCTGCAACCGGTGGAGTGAAGAAGCCCCATCGCTACAGGCCCGGAACCGTCGCTCTCCGTGAGATCCGTCGCTACCAGAAGAGCACCGAGCTCCTCATCCGCAAACTGCCCTTCCAACGTTTGGTCCGTGAAATCGCTCAGGACTTCAAGACCGACCTGCGCTTCCAGAGCTCCGCCGTGATGGCCCTCCAGGAGGCCAGCGAGGCCTACCTCGTCGGTCTCTTCGAAGACACCAACTTGTGCGCCATCCACGCCAAGAGAGTCACCATCATGCCAAAGGACATCCAGTTGGCCCGTCGCATCCGAGGAGAACGCGCTTAATTCTTTCCTCCAACCAAAACAATCGGCCCTTTTCAGGGCCAACAATTATTTATTCGTTGGAATATGTTTGTTGCTAACATTAAACTTTTAAATTTATATTACATTCACAAAAAATGGTATAAATTATATAAATAGGTATTCAATTATTTTCGTAAATAATAGAATTCTTAGTAATTATTATTTTTAATTCAATTTTAATCGAAAAATGTAGGTAATTATGCTTACAAATTTTATTAAAATCAGTCGAAAGAATTTAATGATTTGAAAATGTATTGATAAAATTTTTTATGAGAATTCAGTTTTGAGAAACATTCAATTGTTCAATAAATCATTTATTTTTGTAGGGCAAGGGGCCCAAGTTGGCCACCCATCATTTGAACACTAATTTCTAAACGGTATTGCATAACATAATTAATACTATATGCCCTGAAACTGTTTGCAACAACACAACTGAAAAAGGAGCCAAATATTTTTATTCTTTAGTGTTCTTGGGTAAAGTTGTGGTCAACACAAATTGGCCTCAACTGGGATTTACCAAAGTATTTTATTTTTATACACTGAGAGACCTTTGGGACTGTAGCGGAACTTTTGGACTGTCACGCGCCCAAAATTTTATCGCAGCAACCCAAAAGTATAGTCCTGCAGCATTCCGCGAAAATGGTCAGTAGCAGCCAATCGAAAGTCTGCTGCTGACCCAAAGGTCTCTCAGTGTAAAATAAAGTTTAATTAGATTTTCAGTTATAAACCAATAAAAAATTTAAGTAAAATCAAACTAATATTTAAAATAATATCCTGCGTGGAAATTTTCCCAAAGGCCAATCTGTACCAGATTTGGGTTGGCATGTAAGAAAAAATAAAAATATCAGTTAATCATATAAATATTTAAGTAGTATGTATAAATGTAAAGAACATAGAATTCAAACGTAAAAAACTGTTGTTGGCCCTGAAAAGGGCCGATTGTTTTGTGAGGGTGAGTATGGAAAATTTAAGCTTTCTTTTCGGTTTTCTTGGGCAAAAGAACAGCTTGGATGTTGGGGAGAACACCACCCTGGGCGATGGTGACTCCAGACAGGAGCTTGTTCAATTCCTCGTCATTTCTGATGGCGAGTTGAAGATGACGGGGGATGATTCTCGACTTCTTGTTGTCACGAGCTGCGTTTCCGGCCAACTCCAAAACTTCAGCAGCCAAGTATTCCATTACTGCGGCTAGGTACACTGGAGCACCTGCACCAACTCGCTCGGCGTAGTTTCCTTTGCGCAAGAGACGATGGATACGACCGACTGGGAACTGGAGTCCTGCTCGGTTGGAGCGGGTCTTTGACTTTCCCTTGGTCTTGCCTCCTTTGCCACGTCCTGACATTTTTGATTTAGTTTTAGGTTAACGAAGTAAACACAACGAAGAATACAAAGCGAATGATGTTCTGCGCCAGAAATCCGCCTATTTACGCTCTCCCCACAGGTCACCCCCTCCACTGCGCTCCCCTCTCTTTTTCGTGAGTGGCAGATGGTTGCAGTGAGTGCCCGCACCAATCAAAATGCCGCAGGCGGACATAAATACGGTGCCGCCAGTGTGCAAAATATCAATTCACCCTGAATTGCCTTTGTGGTCAGACGTTCTTTCTCTGAAAAACAACTATGCCTCCTAAAGCAAGTGGTAAAGCCGTGAAGAAAGCCGGCAAGGCTCAAAAGAATATTACCAAGACCGACAAGAAGAAGAAGCGCAAGAGGAAGGAGAGCTATGCCATCTACATCTACAAAGTGTTGAAGCAAGTGCACCCCGACACTGGAGTCTCCAGCAAGGCCATGAGCATCATGAATTCGTTCGTGAACGACATCTTCGAGCGCATCGCAGCCGAATCTTCCCGCTTGGCCCACTACAACAAGAGGTCCACCATCACCTCCCGGGAGATCCAAACTGCCGTCAGGCTTCTTCTTCCTGGTGAACTCGCCAAGCACGCCGTCTCTGAAGGCACCAAGGCTGTCACCAAGTACACCAGCTCCAAGTAAATTCTGTCCACCTTTCTCGAAAAACAATCGGCCCTTTTCAGGGCCAACAAATATTTTTACGAAAGAATTATTTGGTTCCAAATGTGTTGCAGTATTAGGACTAGCTTTCTGATAAGTCACATGTTTACATTGAAAATTTAATAGTATCCAGTTAAATCTTTTTTATATTATTGAAACAGTTTACTGATGTATATATTTCTGCTAACAGCTGAACTCATTTTTAGGTTGAGTGAAATTTTAGTTTTAATATCAAGTGTTAAACTAAAGAAAAAATTATAAAATATTTACTAAGTTATATAAATTATCAAACTTTTAGCAAATTTTAATATAATTTTACTAAATATTGTAAGTTTTTTAATGTTTAGTATTTCTGATACTATATCATAAAATACCTTTGTCACATTGTGTCCTACAGTCCTACACTTGTAATATACTTTTATAAAATATCATAGTACCTTTTTTCCGCATATATCTGAAGATGTCATTGACGCTCAGCATCGAAATAGTTGTTTTCTTATTGTTAGTGATCACACCTTTAAAAATTGTACTTCTTTCATTCATCTAGGAAGTAAAAAAGTTTTAAAGCAAAACGACGCCCGACAATGTAATTAAGAAATTTATGATTATCACAGTAAATCATGAGGTGTTAAAATAACAACAGAATATATTAAAAAAATTTGCAACAGTTTAATTTCTCTCATATAGTCACAGTCTCGTTCTAGTTCTAGTCAATCTCAGTTCGATTTACAAGTCAGGTCTCAGTCAAGTCTTCGTCTAAATTTTAGTCAAAGTCAAGGTCAAAGACTAAGTCTTAGTCAAACTCTAAGTTTTAGTCAAGGTCTAAGCCTTAGTCAAAGTCTAGGTATTAGTCTAAGTCTAAGTCTTAGTTAAATTCTAAGTCATAGTCTAAGTCTTAGTCAAAGTCTAATTCTTAGTCAAAGTCTTAGTCAAGTTTTAATCAAGTCTTAATCAAATCTTAGTCAAAGTCTAAGTCTTAGTCAAAGTATAAATCAAAGTCTTAGTCAAAGTCTGAGTAGTAGTTATAGTCAAAGTCTTAGTCTAAGTCAAGGTCAAGGTGAGTAAACTAGTTGTGACTAGCTTGGAACTAGATTGGAAATAGGTAATCACTATTTCAATAACTATTTTGGTCTAGGTTGGCACGACGTTGGTAATATATTCACAATAGAAATTTCCATGTAGAAATTTTCCTACGTGTCCCTACCAAATAATGGAATCTGACTAAGAATCACACTAGATAATCTAGTCTGGAAAAATCTGTCTAGAACACGTTCAGATTCTTGTGAGTAAATTTGGACTAAAAATACTTAGCTAGATTACTCATAAAATCTAGATAGATAATTCAGATAAGAAATCACTGGTTAGACCCTTGCTAAATTCTGGTCAAAGAAGCCCCGAGTCGGACTTCGATTATTTTTTAGTGTTTTCAATTATGTTATCTTTTTAAGTATGAGTTCAATGTCCAAACAAGACGCAAATATTGTTAGAATGTTTGTATAACCAAAAGACACGCTTTGACTTTCTTTGACAAATCGTTGGCATGCTTTGATTCAAAGTCAAATTTCATTCGTGTTTAAAAATAACACGAAAATGGATTATTGTAATTCTTTTTGTGAATTTTTAATTAAATTATGACTACCTTTGTTAATTTAAAAAATTATTGACCTTAAGTACACGGAAATAGTAGGTAATCTATAAGATGAAATTTTGTGAAAAAATGAAAAGAAAAAAATTTATTATTAAAAATAATTAAAAAATGATATGGAGAATATAATTGATTATTTTGACGAAATTAATTTACCGATAAGTTTTATCAATCTTTTCAACAATTAGAAAATTATTTTATAAAAATTTTATAGCGTAGAATGTAAAAAGGCATCTTTTTCATCCCACTCTATCCTATCAATATAGGTATATATAAAGGGAAAATTTTTAATCAAAGAAGTAAAACAAATATTTGAAGTGAAGCTTTTATTTTTCTTCAGAAATACAATACGATTTCTCGATGTACAAGCATACTGAAAAATCGAAAAAAGCTTTAAAGAAATTTTACTAACTCATATAAATTATATTGATAATAAAAAATATTTTCGTATTTTCAGTATATACATAAAAACAATAATATATATATAAAAGAGTGAAATGCAAATTGACTTTAAAAAAAATAACAATTTTTATAATTCACAAAAATTCTATATAGATGGAATGTAAGAGTTATTATAATATTTTTCGAAAAAACAATTTTAGACAAAATTTATTTAAAATTTTTAAAGAACAATGAGTGGAAACTGAAAAAACTTTTATTTTAGAAAACGTACTTATTCCCATGGGCGATATTTTTTGGAAGACTCATCAGAACCTAAAATTAATTTTAACCAGTTAATTCATTTTAATTACGCGTAATAAAATAAAAAAAGAAGTGCTTTGACATACCTTTTGAGTTGTATTTAGAACTTCCACCTACAACATTAAAAAAAATTATTAATTTCAATTTTTAGATTAGAGTACATTTTAGTTTCAATTAAAGTTGGAAAAACAGAAGACTATTTTCTATTAATAGTAGTCTATTTCTATTAATTAGTCGATAGACAAAAAATTCTAAATAAATACTTAAGTATAACGTACCAGAGTTATCGGTTCGAGATGATGAACCACCTACAAGATTTGTTAAAAGAAAAAAAATCACATTTGAAATTGAATTGAAATCACTCTTTAGAATTTATTATAGTTGTAAAATATTAGTAAATATTATAATTATCTTATAATTTGTTAATTCGAAAAAAATTTACAATCTTGTGAGAATTGTAATAAAAAATTGTAAAATATTTAAATGCTTGACTTAACGATTTAATTTGGAGAAAACATGGAATATAATTTTACAAAGAGGAATAGTTATATTTAATATTTATAACATTACGTACTACTTCTGCTGGGATCTATACGCTCAACTGAAAACAAATTTTAGTTATATTTTTAAAATTGGTATACAAATTTTTTTATACCTATGACATATAAGAAGGTATTATAATTACTGGAAAAATTATATGTGGTTATAATATATACATATGTATAATAGATTACAAAAAATATTAAATAAATGCCATGCTAGTATCTGTATAGATATACATAACCTAAATATTTAAAATATATAACACCTTCCCGTTAATTTACATGAAGATTTATTATTTGAATAAATACTTTAATTAAACTTACAAGAACCGCCATTAAATCCGGTATCTATAAAATGGAATACGATAAAAATATTGTTAAATTTAATTTTCATAGATAGAATCATAGGTATTGATATTATATATGGCTTCATATATCCCAATCTTGGTAAAAACGACAGGGCTATGGCTGGCATCAAGGCTATAGTCACACATTTAACCTTTACACTGCTAATGAGTCTAAAGGTCGCAAATCATGAAGCTGACATCAGATTTTAAAAACTCAAAATGTCGGATCCAACATGGCCGACTATTTTTCAAAAATCAATCAAAATCACTTGAATTATTGACACTTGAGGGTTTTCGGGGTCTCTCATAACAAAAATAACATCAGATTTACAAAATTAAAAATGTCTGACTTGATATGTTAAATAAATATACAAAAATCTAAAGTAGTAATTTCATATATTTTGTTCGTGAGTATAGAGGTTTTATATAATGATTTTGACACCATATTCGTAATCAGACACCTCAAAAACCCCCAAATAATACATTTTAAATAATATTTCGATCGATTTTTTAGTTAATTATCGGCCATGTTGGATCCGACATTTTGAATTTTTCAAATCTGATGCCATATTTGTAATTTACAAAAGCTTTTTTAAACTTACAAGAACTAGGATATCTTGAACTTCCAGCTAGAACATTTGTTAAAAGAAAAATAATTACAATTTTAATATTAGTATCCTTTATAGTTGTATAATTAATCGATCAATTCAAATTAAATATTATTATTATTATTATTTTTTATTATTATTCTTATTATTATTATTATTATTATTATTATTATTATTATTATTATTATTATTATTATTATTATTATTATTATTATTATTATTATTATTATTATTATAGTAAATCTTTTTTTAAAATTATTTTTCTCGAATATTTAAAATATGTGGTCTGAAATAAAAATTCAAATGGAGGATCCAAGAAGGCTTTTAAGATTAAAGTACAACAAGCGTGTTTGGAACATACCTCCTGAGCTATATTTGGAACTTCCAGCTACAACATTAAAAAAAATAATTAATCTCAATTTTAAGATTAAAGTACAACAAGCGTGTTTGGAACATACCTCCTGAGCTATATTTGGAACTTCCAGCTACAACAATAAAAAATAATTAATCTCAATTTTAAGATTAAAGTACAACAAGCGTGTTTGGAACATACCTCCTGAGCTATATTTGGAACTTCCAGCTACAACATTAAAAAAAATAATTAATCTCAATTTTAAGGTTAAACTACAACAAGCGTGTTTGGAACATACCGCCTGAGCTGTATTTGGAACTTCCAGCTATAACATTTAAAAAAAATTATTAGTTTCAATGTTAAGATTAAAATAAAATTAAATAATATTAATGCATCTATTATTTAGTAGATCGCAAAAATGTGCAATCTCAAGAAAACCACACTAAAAAATTATAGTTTTTAATAACTTGAAATATATTTAACAAAGAGGAATAAATTAATTAATGATTAAATAAATACTTTAGTACAACGTACGCATGTTATATTGATGACGTGAATCCTCTGTAATAAAATTATTAGTAATAATTTTTATGTTGGTAATATAAAATCAATTTCTTTGTTTTGATGTTTAGATAAAATTCTTTATGAGAATTCTATTTTAAGAAACATTTAATTATTCAATAAATTATTTATTTTTTTTAGAAAAAAATAAAAAATAGCTGCATCGATGAAAAAAAATATTAATTCATGATATTTTAAAAATTCCTTTTGGATTATAAAAATTGATTAAAAAAGCAGCTCAGAGAAAAATTGTAACTAAAATTATCTATAAAATTATTTCATTTGTTGGCACATGAAAAAGTTATAATATTAATTTATCAAATTTTCCCACTTGTAAATTTCAGAATTTGTTTAACAATAAGAACATTTTTATTGTTTCTTTTTACTCCAAAAGAGTATAAAAAGTAATAACTAATTATTTGACAACAATATTATTATAATGAAAATTTTAATATTGATATTAATATATAGCCCGAGTCATCAATTTATAAAAATGACTTACGAGAACTCTGATATTTTAAATTTCCAGCTGGAAAAATAATTACAATTTTAATATTAGTTTTATTTCTTTTGAAAAAATATATATATAAAAATTTCGCATCGAAAATTATGCGAAATCATCGATTTATAAAAAAATTTATTAAACTTACATGAACCAGGAGGATAATTGGAACTTCCAACTGGAACATTTTTTAATAAAATTAATTACAATTTTTATATTAGTTTCCTCTTTATCATTAATTTTAGTTGTATAATATTATAGATTTCTCTTATAATTTGTCAATTACCAAAAATGTAGAATTTGGTAAAAATTGTGAATGTTTGTTAATACTAGGTACATAATTAATTTTATGCCTTTCAAATCTATTTTTATACTTTTTAATGTTATCGTGATACTAACAATGTTATCTATTTATAAAAACTTTTATTAAACTTACAATAACCAGGATATTTGGAACCTCCAGCTAGAAAAATTGTTAAAAGAAAAATAATTGAAATTCGTAATAGGGTAAGTGTACTAATTCCTGCGGTATTTTGGTCAAGACGTCTTTTAACTATAAAATATAATTTTTATATTGATCAAATTGAACTTATGTCTTATTAAATTTGTAGTTTGTGTTATTAAGATATGTTTACAATAAATAACATCTCTAAAATATAATTTATTTTAATAAATTTAATGAATTAAAAATAATATTCAATGCGTTTAATTCTGCGCGTTTGAGTCAGTTGCTGCGCATCAGTTGCTGCGCGAATTCAATTCCTGTGGGTCAGTTTCTGCGCATAATTTCGTGTTTATGTGTATAATACCGCAAACTACTATGAAATCAAAATGGGACAATGATTTTAATCAATGTTTAATTGAATAGAATATAAATTTATTAAAAATAAATATATATCATATATTAACAAAAGTAACAAATAATTTCTGAATTATCACATTTTTGAAACATTTAGTTAAAACTTAATAACAGAATTCTTCCTTAATTAATTTATGTATTTATTAAATTTTCTTTAGTTTTTCCTCCATAATCTTCATTTTTTCTTTCATTTTCATAATTTTTTCTTGCTCTTTTTCAAAATAGATAGTCTATTGTAACCAGTCTTAGTTGATTTTCTGAGGGCGCAGAAATTAAATCAAGCCCAAATTCTGTGTTAATTACTGCTCTTAAAAATAAAATATAATAACAGACAAAAATAAAGTAAAGTTTAATTTTTCTTTTAAAACAAGGTTTTCTTTATCTAAAATCATCATAATAATAACCACTTTAAGTCTAAAAACAATAATAAAGCCTTTTTTATGTAGGTATTTTTGCACCGCCAGCAAAGTTAGCAATGAAAATAAATAAAACCTTGAACACGTCAACTTTTAATTAAAATAAAATACATAAATATTATGTTTTGGTATATACTTCCTATATCTATTTTAAAACTTACATCGTTAAGTAATTTTTAAAAAAAATTTCAAAATTATTTGTGCCCTGAACAAATGTATTCACTTAAATTATTAAAATGCCGCAGAAACTGAAGCACCCGCAGCAATTGACGCACTTACCCTAAGTAAGTAAAATGTTTTCCTTTTTTTCGAAAAATTCAAAAATTTCCAATTTTATTTTAAATTTAAATTTGTAATTATTTTTTATAAATATTTATTTATTGTTATTATTTCCTTCTGAAAATTGAGATTTTTCTTACAAAAATATTAAGAAACGGTAATATGACGTAATGTTTTTTTCCCAAAAGAAAAAAATGAGTTTAATATTATAGTTAATTTATATAAATACTTAAGTATAACGTACCACTGCTACCGGTGTTATAATTTTTACGTGAAAGGTCCACTGAAAAAAATTGTTAGTTATAACTTTTGTATTGGTATACATTTTTTTTCATTGTTACCACATGAGAATGTATTATATTTGATCCATAATATTATTATATGATTGATTATTTAAAAAAACAATTAGCAACAATTCGCACGCTAAAGCGCGCGGCTAACTTCTTACTACCTTTTTTAAAATAAAATTAGCAATTTTAAAAAATAATAGAATTTAAAAATTTTCTAGTTTAAATTTTTGTTGAAAACACTAAAAAAAATCAATTTTGGAGAAATTACAAATAATTACAGAAATTCAATTATTTTCAAAAGTTAAAATTCTTCTTATAAAATTCAACTATGTTCAAAATTTGAAAAAAATTCTCGTGAAAATACCAATTATCTTTATAAATAACATAATTCTTCTCCAAAGTTCAATTATTTTCATAAATGTCAAAAAAATTCTTGTCCTAATTTCAATTATTTTCAAAAATTTTTCTAATTTCAATAATTTTCAATATCTAAGATTTTAATAAAATTTCTCAAAACGAATTCAATTATTTAAAGAAAATTTTAATAAAATTGTATGTAAACAATTAATTATTTTCATAATTAAATAAAATTTTTTTATGGAATTCAATTATTATTTTCATAAGAAATAATTGAAAATTTTAGAAAATAATAATTGAATTAAAATGATGAAAATAATGTTGATGAAGTTACAGTAACAATATTTTTATAATATAAAATAATGATTTTATCTCTCGGTCATCTTTAATTATTTGAAAACATGAAGAAAACGAATCATGAAGAAAACGATCACTTCGATATCTTCATGTTTTATATCAAATACTTTTATAAGTTGTTTAATTTAAAAAAGGTTTGAATTTGAAATTTTTGAATGTGGAAAATCCTGATCCAAAAATAAGATTAAAAATAGAAATTTTGCAAATATTTTTCTTCTTTTTTGTTTCTTAACTTTTTTATAATTTTCCTTTTCAAACATTTTTAATTTTAAAACTAATATATTGAAAATCATCGAATTTTTGCAAAGAATTTTTTTCAAAAAATTTGATAATAATATTATTTAGGAAAATAATTGAATTTTCACAAAAAATTTTATTAAAATTAAAAAAAAATCCTAATTAAATTCTTTTGAAGAATTTCTTTGAATTTTTTTTAAACTAATGGAGTTTTTTTTTGATAATTTTAATTGAAAATTTTAAAAGCAATTGAATTTTATGAAGAAGAATTTTATTAAAATTGTATTGAAAATAATTGAATTCTTGCGAAGAATTTTACTATTTATAAAAATAATTGAATTGTTTCGAAGAATTTTTTAAAATTTTAGGACACACAATATTTGAAATTTTATGGAAATATTTAAATATATTTGAATTCATCCGAGGAATTCAATTAAAATTGTTTGGACAAACTTACGTGGTTGATCATTTCCATAACGTGATCCTGCAACATTCAATATTACAAAATATAATTACGATTGAACTTCACTTAAGGTAAGTTCGTTTAATCAGTTAATTTTAGTTTTCATTAGGGTTGAACATGGGTTAAATACGTACCACTTTCTCTTGAAGATGAAGCACGAGAATCAGAAGAATCTGCAAAATAGTTATAGTGTCATAGAACTCTCTAAATTTGAATTAGTAAAAATATTTACTAATTGGAATTAGTGACTGACTTTTTGCTTTTGAATTAGTAAATTTTACTAATAAATTAGCAAAAATTACTATTTACTTGTAAAATTTACTAATTCAAAAGCAAAAAGTCAGTCACTAATTCAAATTAGTAAAGATTTTTACTAATTCAAATTTAGAGAGAAAATAAAAGAATTAACAGATTAACTTTTTTTCTTCATGAATGAAAGTAGTGTATAAAAAAAACTTTTAATACTTATTGTTAAATATGACTTATTACAAATAAATATACCTTTACTTCCGTAAGCATCTTCTGAAAAATATTCTACAAGTAGTACAATACTTATTGTATTTTATATCGCATAATATATTTCTATATTCATTCAAACATACTTGAATATCTGCCAGAGGCATTAACTTCATTATTAATGCATATTGACAGAATAGTTAAAATTGCAATCCAAGTACACAGCGATCCGTAACTTATCATTTTGTTAACGATTGTTAGTATTATCGTTAAAAATAATTCTTGACAGAACGAACGTGGTTATACCTTAAAATAATTCGTAAAATTTCATCAGTTTGACAAAAGGATTTATTAGTTTTAATCATGTCATAAAATTTTATAATGCTTAATGTTGTTGAAGTTCACAATGTTCATGATTAACAAAATTTTAAGTGGTGTAAGTTGAAATGTAAAATATAAAATCTATTATGAATTCACTGTTAGGAATAAAATAAAAAATTTTTTAAATTCTTAACTTCTACTTTAAAATTAAATAATTAATGTAATATGACGAAGCAAAAGGAAAATCATCTGAATAAAGTAAATTGTAATTGTACAATATTGTCAATAATACTGTATATAATTATAATTTTGCAATATTTTTAAATTAGTCATCAAATAATATTTCAAAGTGAAAATAAATTTTGATGACACATCAGTGTCATCTGAGCGATTTTTTTTAAAAGATTTTTGTAAATTTCTTTTTGTAAAGTTGTCCTCCAAAAAGACCTACAATTAAAAAAATTTGAAAAAAATTCCATATTTTCGGATATATGCCTAATATTATACGTTGATATATTTTACAACATTGCATGATTCTTTCGTGAAAAAATGAGGCGCATGAAAAGTCTCCAATTTTTATTTTTCGAATCTTTATTTATTTATCGAAATTCTTTTTATCTAATAAGAATTAATTATAATTTCTTTTAATCGAAAGAATAATTATCAAAAACATTATTTTTTTGAATGACTAATTAACAGAATTTAAAAATTTAAATTTAAAATTAAAAAATTAAAAAATTATTAATTATTACAAATATTGTTTAAACCAATTAACTACGCTAAATATCATTAGGGAAAATGTTTTAAACAATATTTGTAATAATTAATATATGTTATATAATAAAATAATAAACTTTTTTCAAATTTAGCGCCATATTCTTCAGAGATGGGAAACGTCGAAACCGTATATTCTGTAGGTGAAATAACTATTCGGTGCAATTCTTATTATGACATTTATAGGTTAGGAAAATGATAAATTAGAGAATTTAAATCTTAGAAAAAATGTATGTTATGTAAAATACGAATTAGGAAATATAAAAATTATGAAAAAGAATTATTTGGAAAAATGAATATTAGGAAAAATAAAAAATCGATTGAAAATAATAATTTAAAATATAATTTTGGTAAGAAAAAAATTATACGAAATAATTATTCGAATAAAATAAAATTATTAAAACTGGTTATTATACAATAAAAAAATTTGTATAAAAAATTATTAGATATTACAAAAATTTTGAAAAATAATATTTCGATATAATAATAATAATTATGAGAAGTGACAATTCGGTAAAGTTATAGTTAGAAGAAATACGAGTTAAAAAATGTAGTAATTATAAAGAAGAATGATTAGGAGTAAAGAAAATTATGAGTAATGTTAATTCGAAAAAGTTAAAATTATTTTGAAAAACATTTATAAGAAAAAAGTTTTTATAACAAATGATATTTCGATAAAATAAAATTTAGAGACTTTAGAATTTAGAACATTTACACATTATGAAAAAATATTGTTAGGAACAATAGATTTTTTAAAAATTGGTAATTCGGTAATATTAAAATTATATTGAATAATAATTTGGGAACATAATTATTATAATTATTAACAAATCTATAAAATAATATTTATCAAAATTGAAATTTCGAAAATGAAAATATTAGTGTAAATAAGAAATATAAAAAATAATCATTTTTAGAAATGATAATTCGGTTATTTGAATATTATAAAAAAATTTCTTTTGTAGTATTAAACATTCTGTTAATTATTCATTTAAAAAATAATGATTTTGCCAATTATTCTTTCGATTAAAAGAAATTATAATTAATTCTTATTAGATAAAAAGAATTTCGATAAAATAAAGATTCGGAAAATAAAAATTGGATACTTTTCATGCGCCTCGAAAAAATTATCTTAACCTTCAGATTATTTGAAAGTCGTTGACTAATAAAATTTTTAACTTTTCGTTACTAGAAAACGATTGTCATAATAGATTATATTACAAAAAACACGTGTGCAAAAAAATATGTTTATCAATTTTTAGCATGTATTTTTTTATAAGCTATTAAATACGAACAAAAGATATAAAAACGAACAATAAATTATTCACATAATCTTTCGAACAGAAGAAATTTATAATAAATTTTGTAAACTTGTATATATTCATTTATATTTTATAATATTCAAATTAATTGTTTACTTTTAAAACTTTTAGGGTCATTTGGGGTAAATGTAAACAGTAGATGTTTCAGCTAAATTTACAAATTTAAAAATAAGTACGACGTCAATATTTTTACCTCAGCTCACCTACAAGATGTTCTGAGTATTGTCAATATTTTATTTTGACAATTGGCAATGCCATAGTGTAAGTTATTTTTTAATGCAAAAAAGATTGAAAATCAAAATTTTACTGTTTCAGTATTTTGTCTCGCATTTGCATAAAAATAAATTTAAAAATCAAACAAAAATATGTAATTCTTCCTTATTAATGCCCTAACAAAAATTGACTTTGATTTTTGATTTTCGTCAATTCAGTTAATAAATAATTAAGTGTTTACATTTACCCCGAGAATTCGAAAACTCGGGGTAAATGTAAACAGAACTTGAACTACATTTTAAAAGAAAATAATTGAATAAATTTGCTTCTATTTCACAATTTCATTAATTTGTCAATGTAAAATTACATAGAAAAGAAAATCAGGTCCTCTTTAAAAAAAAAAATTTGATAAAAAAGAATTTTTTTTTGAAAAGATCAATTTTTAAAAATATTTTTAGGTTCATCCGCCATTTTGAAAATTTAAAATTTGACTTCAAATTCGTATTCAGCGACCTCAAAAACCCCCGAGTAGCCAGATAACAAGTTCATGCAAAAGAAATCCGCCCGTTTTACCTTTTAACAAAAAAAACTAATGTTTTTCGTGAAAAATAGATATTCCGTTTACATTTACCCCAATTGACCCTAATTATATTTATATTTTATATAATATTCGAATTTCTTGTTTACTTTTTAAATTTTATTGGGCGAATTGGTTGTATTAATCTGAAAAATTTAGCTACAGCGATAATATGACATTAAATTGTAAAAAAGTAAAAAAATGTGTATTTTTTAAATTTCGAATTTTTTTAAATATAGTTACGTTTCAAATTTATAGGTCATAGAATAAAATTCAATGAAAATTAAGTGTGTTACTGTCGATTAAAAATCAAATTTCATGAAAATTTTAATGATTTTTAGACACTTAAGTAACTTAAACTATTTTTTCTGCATTAAACAGTAAAAAATGTTTAGGTTTTAATTTTTTTATTTATAGTCTATTTCATCACAAAAATTTTGAGCCCTTGTGGACCTCGATTGAATTAAAAATGACAATTCTACACTAGATTTAGTGAACAATGTCAGTTTTTCGAATTTCAAAATGGCGGATCCAATATGGCGGACAGATTTTTTATAAATTTATCAAATTCATCTCAAATTTGTTACTCGAGTGTTTTCGAGGTCGCTGATTACGAATCCGATGTCAGATTTCGAAAATTCAAAGAGGTGGATTCAATAGGTGCGAATTCGATGGATTTTTAAAAAACTCGTCCACCATAATGAACCCCGAGTAACGAATTTGAGACGAATTTGATTGACTTTTAAAAACTTGTCCGACATTTTGGATGCGCAATTTTGAAATTTTAAAAACTGACATTGGACTCGAAATCAACGACTCAAAAAAAACCTTTGATTAGTGGTTTTAGTAATTTCAAAGTATCGACTGTTTATCGATAAAATCGAATAACTCGAGTAAATATTAACCAATTTTGCTCACATTTTTTTTTCTATAAAGAATAATAAAAGAAATAATTCTGATAAGTTTATTCAATATTTTGGATACTAAAACTAAAAAAATATCGACTTTTCGAAAATTATACAAACGTAGAGCCTAAACTTCTAAACGGATTTGTAAAATATTCTCGAATATTATTAATTAGGTTAAAATCTCTAAATACATTTCAGGAAATTTCAATATATTTCGTATTTTTTTGAAATATTTGGATTTTTCCCAAAAAAAATTAGATTTTTTTAAAATTTAGACAAACGTAGAGACTAAATTTCTAAACGGATAATAAATGTAAAATATTCTAGAATATTATTAATTGGGTTAAAATCTAGATATTTATTTTTGGAAACTTCAAACATTTCGTATTTTTTGAAATAATTAAAATTTTTCCACAAAAAATTGGATTTTTTTAAATAAAATAATTGAATTCTTTATAAAAATTTTGTTGAAAATAATTTAATTGTTTCGAAAGATTTAATATAGTTTTAGAAAATAATTTAAATCTTTTGGAAATTTTTAAAGCGAATTAAGAAAAAAGATTGAATTCTTTCCTGAAATGTTATTGAAAATAATTAATCTTTGCAAAAGATTTTAATATTTAAAGAAATAATATTGAATTCTTTTGTGACATTTTATTAACATTTTTTTAAAAATAATTTACTTTTTGCAAAAAATTTTAATAAAATTATTGGAAACAATTTAAAATATATTTTAATAAAATTCGTTTCAAATTTTATCATCTTTTATATTTAAGGGTTTTTATTGGGGTCGCTGAATTACGAATTATGTCAAAATTGAAATTAAAAATCCAAATCCTTGCTTTTTATTATAATTTATTCGTCCTCCATATTGGATCCGAAATATTAAATATTTTAAAAAATGATTTTAAATTCGTAATCAGCGACCCCAAAAACCCCCGAGTAACAATAAGTTTCATTAGCTTAGCTTTATTTACTTTTCGGTTTTGTAAATTTTGAAGAAATTTATAAAATATTATTGCTTAATATTTTGATAAGATTATTAAAAAATTATTGATGTTTTGAAATAGTAAAATTATAAATTTCTCTTACCAATTTCGGTTGTGTAGCTTTCAATGCACCTGGTTGTAATAGAAAAAAAATTCCCCGTATTGCTCTATTTAAACCATTATCATATCACGTTATATGTAACGTATAAACATAAAAAATACATAAATTTTATTAAAAATTTTTGCATAGATAAAAAATAAGAAATTATATTACGAAAAAGCAAAAAATGAAAATTATGAAATAAAAATGTTTTTCTTATTACTTCTTCTTATTATTAGTAAAATAAATAGCTATGTATATTGAGAGATATTTTACAAAATACATAAAAAGAATTGTCAACGATTACCATTTATATCGTATTTGAAAACACATGTGCACTTATATCTTTTTTAAATTCTAAAAGTATAGAATTTTATATATACTTTGACAATGAAGTTTACTTTTTCAATATTTTACTTAATTTAATTAACTTTTTTATTTAATCAGTTTTACTTGAATACTAAATATAATTAATTTTTATTTCAAAATATACGCAATAATAATAAAAAATATTTCAGTGCAAAGTTCTTGAAATATTTCTGCAAATAGGAAAATGTCCGCTTCTGTGGAAATATTGACGCGAAAGTTGAGAAAATATTTCATTGAAATATTCCTGCAATATTACACATAAAGATTCTGCAATATTGTGAAAATATTTCACAAAATTGAAAAATTTGTTAAACACCTCAAACCAATAGGAATTTTCTGAAATATTTTAAAACCCATAGGATATAGTAAGCCAAAAATTACTGCGCAGCTCTACAGGCCATAGAAACTGAGTTCGACCAGTGCGCATCATTTCAGTTGAATATTTCCAAAATATTTCAATGAAATATTTTCTCAACTTTCGCGTCAATATTTCCACAGAAGCGGACATTTTCCTGTTTGAACCTTGCACTGAAATATTTCAATCTTTCAGTGAAATATTCAGGAAATATTTAGGAAATATCATGTGCTGTGTGGGAGGGTTTCGATTAAAAATAAATCAATTTTTGATCACATTGATGATTTTTGGGATATTTTTACTATTAAGTGACATATATTTAAAAATAAAAATTACATAATTTAAAAAAAATTTTTGAAGATAAAAAATAATTAAATTGGAGACATGTTAAAAAAGCTTCGGAGATGAAATTATTTATTACCATTATTTTATTACAAAAAAAGCCAACAGCACGCGGTATTCCCAAGCGGTTACCCATCCAAGTACTAACCGCGCCCAAAAATGCTTAACTTCAGTGATCGGACGAGAACTGGTTTTTTCATCGCTTTGTTTGTTTGTAAACCAATATTTATTTAACAGGAAATATATGTACATTATTTACAGAGTTTAGTCTTATAAAAAACAGGTTTTTTCATCGTGGTGTGGCAGTTGCCTGTGAACTCAAGTGTTGTAAAAGTATAGTATATGAGCAAACTGAATACTGTTTCTTTTAAATAACGTCTTTTTCAATTTTCACACGTTATAGTGATGTCGATTTTCACACTTCATATAGAATCAATTATTTTTACAAATTCTCAACAGCAGGATATATATATTTTATACGAAATATATATATATATATTTCGTCAAGAACAAATGTGTAAATTTATTTCTCTCTCTGCAACTAGTAAGAAATACTAATTTTAATTACATAAAACATACACATGTGGTAGTTTTCACCATTCGCATTTATTTCTGTGTACTTAGTACAAACAATATTCGTGAATTTCGAAAACAAGAGCATTATGGATTAAATAATGCCTAGAATGTGGGTATACGTGACTCACTATATTACTTACTGATAGATTGCACTTTAATGCTTTTGTCATAAAACTATGTTATTGATGAAAAATTATTCAAACGTAAAAAATATTTGGTGGCCCTGAAAAGGGCCGATTGTTTTTTGATGACGATGATGAATATGAAAATTAACCGCCGAAACCGTAAAGGGTGCGGCCTTGACGCTTGAGAGCATAGACGACGTCCATGGCGGTGACGGTCTTCCTCTTGGCGTGTTCGGTGTAAGTGACGGCGTCACGGATCACGTTCTCAAGGAACACTTTCAAGACACCACGGGTCTCTTCGTAAATCAATCCTGAGATACGTTTCACTCCACCACGACGAGCCAAACGACGGATGGCAGGCTTGGTGATGCCTTGGATGTTATCACGCAACACTTTACGATGGCGCTTTGCTCCTCCTTTTCCCAATCCCTTTCCTCCCTTACCGCGACCAGTCATTTTCACAGAGAATAAGGTTTACGTTCGATCAGAACAGAAAACAAACTCGGAATGATGCTAAGGCCGTGAAGGGGCACTGTTTTATTCCCTCTGGAGTTACCCTACTCCCCTCCACAATCTGACCGACCAATCAGGATGTCAGTGTCCCCTTCTCCCTGACTAACTGGTGCAAGAGCTTCTGAAAGCTATAAATATGTGCGTTTTTACAAAATCCAAAAATATCTCTTTAAATTAGAAAAATATTTCCATAAATGGAAAATTAAAATTAATACAAATAAAACTGAACTCGTTATATTCTCTCATAATGATGGAGACGACAAATACACGAATCCTACACTTTATGACGAAACTATAGTTCCTATTAAGCAAGCGAAATATCTAGGAGTAATTTTAGACTCAAAATTATCTTATACTAAGCATGTAAATTCAATCAGAGCCAAAGCAAATATGACAATAAATAATCTATATTCTATTATGAATTATAAAAGTAAAATGAGCCGACAAAATAAATTAAATACTTACAAAATGATTATACGACCAATAGCATTGTACGTTGCCCCCATCTGGAGTAACACTTACAAAACGAATATTGAGAAAGTACAAAAAATACAAAATAAATGTCTAAGAATGACATTAAATGCGAAGCCAGGTACAAAAATTGTAACACTGCATGATACACTAAAAATTCCATTAATTAAAGATTACATATATACACTAACAAAAAATTTCTTTGACCACCAAACTAAAAATTTAGATATTTTGAAAGATGTTGGTAGTCTCAAATACGCTGAAGCTCCATTTAAGATTAAGTACAAACTTATAAATCATTTACTTCAGTAATGTGTAATACCACTAATTATAAGCATAGTAAATTTTCTAGTTTGTAAGTTGTTTTTGTTTCCAAATTTTATTATTATTTGGAATTAATCAGGTTTTTATAAAATTTTTACTGTAACTATATATTATTATCCATGTGATACTCATATGCTACACGTGCCAAATAAATTAGCCCAAATTATTAATTCATAAGGTAGATATCATAAGATAGAATCCTATTTTTGTTACAAATTCGTACTCATGTATATTTACAATGTAAAAAGAAAAACAATAAAGAGTTTTAAAAGTCAAAAGCCGCGCTAACCGTTATTTTCAGTCGTCACTCGTACTCTGAAGTCGTAAGCAATGGCTCGTACTAAGCAAACCGCGCGAAAATCCACCGGTGGTAAAGCACCAAGGAAACAACTCGCCACCAAGGCCGCTCGTAAGAGTGCGCCTGCAACCGGTGGAGTGAAGAAGCCCCATCGCTACAGGCCCGGAACCGTCGCTCTCCGTGAGATCCGTCGTTACCAGAAGAGCACCGAGCTCCTCATCCGCAAACTGCCCTTCCAACGTTTAGTCCGTGAAATCGCTCAGGACTTCAAGACCGACCTGCGCTTCCAGAGCTCCGCCGTGATGGCCCTCCAGGAGGCCAGCGAGGCCTACCTCGTCGGTCTCTTCGAAGACACCAACTTGTGCGCCATCCACGCCAAGAGAGTCACCATCATGCCAAAGGACATCCAGTTGGCCCGTCGCATCCGAGGAGAACGCGCTTAATTCTTTCCACCAAACAAAACAATCGGCCCTTTTCAGGGCCAACAAATATTTATTCGTTGGAATATGTTTGCTGCTAACATTAAACTTTTAATTTTATATTACATTCCCAAAAAATGGATTCTAAATGTAACAAATAAATTAGTGTTGCCGAAGGTCACGGAAATCAAGAGAAAATAGGGGGAATATTATGAAAAGTAGAGATGGAACATCGACAACAAAACATCGATGTTGCTCAACTTCGACATCGAAAAAATTTAACATCGATGTTTCCTATGTTTTAACATCGAAAATTTGAAACCTCAAAAATTATTTAATACGTTATAGCGCAGCTGAAACAGTTCTATAGAATTTCACTACAATCTTTCTCTATAAATTCTGGTGAATATTCTACAGAATTTGCTAAAATTTACTAGAATTCGTGTAGAAATTTAATAGGATCATTCTAGTAAATTCTATAGAATATCCACTAGAATTCATATAGAATAATTCTACTCAAACTCTATACAACTTTTTCAGCTGAGGAACAAACATTTTTAATAAAAGGAAACAGATTTATAGAGATATAAATAGATTGTTAATAAAAAAATCGCTATTCTAAACTATACTATTACCATTTTATACATTTGTTACATCACCGTAACCTATTTTCAATAATAATAATAATATGTAGAATAATAATTAATAATAATAATCATAATATTAATAATAATAATTATAATAAAAGTCAATAAAAAAGATTGTTATTTACATATTACTATAAATAATAACTATAAATAATAATAGACAAGTATAACAAACAACAATAATAAATACCATTAAATTATAATAATAAATATTAACAATAACAACAGAATTGTAATAATAATAAATTAGGAAATTATAACAACTTTTATTGTAACAAAATTAAAGAATTATAATTAACAAATAACATAACAAATTATAAATAACAAATCATAAACAATTAATTGTAATAACAAAATTATAAAAAATAACGTATGGGCTTAGCGAACAATTTCTAAATGCATAGGCAAATTTTGGTATAAGCAGGACTAGACCATCAACAGCAATTCAATCCTGTATTCTTTCTGGGAACTTCTCCTTACACAAAAAGCACGAAGCATTCCTCTTGCAATCGATCTATCCGTCATGTTACATTCTCTTGCTAGGTGACCATAGCCGAGGCATCGGTGACACCTCACTATCATAAGCCTCCTTCTGATCGGGCATGACATAAAACCAATTTTTATGCGTCCGAGCACCTCCAGCTTTTCAGCCTGATTCTGGTCGGTGACCACAACTGCGAGTTTCATCCCCCGCTTGTTAGGTTCAAGGACCGTCACTTTTCTGCTTTCTGTCAGTTCATTTATGAGACCCGATAGTGCCTCCTGCACCTCGTCCTCCTGGGTAAGGCAATCCAGGTTGCGAATCTCCAGCGTAATCTTTCGGTCCGCGTTCTGCATCTCACCCAAATTACCCTGCAGGTAGTCTATTTTTTACCGCTCATTTTCATGTTTCGTGCTGTTTTATTCCGTGTCGAGGAACGAGCGAGCCTAAACAGGGTACTACCATCTGGCCAAGATGGGCCCTGAACCGCCTCCGTTAGTTACATAGACGTTAGAAAATTTCCGGGGCATTGATGCGACGTCTATGATATCCAAGGGCACATGACTCGACTAAGACTCGATTAAGACTTGACTTAGACTTTATTTAAACTTGACTTAGACTTGACTAGGACTTGACTTAGGAATGACTAAGACTTGACTAAAATTTAGACATTAACTAAGACAAAGATTTAGCATTTGACTAAGATATGTACTGTGACTTGACAATGACTTGGACTAAGATTTGACTAAGACAACGACTTAGACTAAGACTAAGACTGAGAATAAGACTTTGATTAGGACTACGAATTAGACTGAGACTTAGACTTAGACTAAGACTTAGACCAAGACTAAGACTTAGACTAAGAGTTAGACAAACACTTTGTCTAAGACTAAGACTTAGACTACGATTAAGACTAAGATTAGATTTAAACTTTGACGAAGACTTTAACTATAACTTAGACTAAGATTAAAACTAATATTAAGACTTAGACTATGACTTAGACTACGACTTAGACTAAGACTTAGACTGAGACTAAAACTAAAACTTAGACTACGACTAAGACCAAGACTAGAACTAAGACTTAGACTAAGACTAACACTAAGACTGAGAATAAAACTTTGGCGTCGTTTTGCTTTAGAAGTTTTTTACTTCCTACACGGAGAGAAAAATCAAGCGTTTGTAGTATGGAGACTTCCTATGCTAATTTTGTATGAACGTCCTGGTAAAGAGGCATGTTTTTATACCTCAGTTGCATGAAACATATACTAAAAAAGCATGGATCTCTTGCAATCGTAGTATACTGACGTCCCATGCGTTACAGGTAGAACTTTTATGCTGATAACGTAGAAATTTATACAAATACAGCAGAAGTTTTACGCATATTGCGCATGTGCATTCTTTTACGAAATAAGCGAAACTTGTGACCACCCTGAATTTAAAAAAAGTTTCAAAAACTTTCTTTGTCCAACGGACAAAGATGTGGTCAACCCAACTGGAATTTCCCAAAGTATTGCCAAACTGAAATTTAATTGGATTTTCAGTTATAAATCAATAAATAAAATGCATGTGAAGATGTTAGTTTATAATTTATACAACTAAGGTTTTGTGCTTCCCACTCCGACTCCATTCTCATCAGAAATTTTATAATACATATATCCAAAACTTTTTAGAAAGTTCTCGACTTTTGGTGAACTTTCTTTCCCGTAAATTCATGAAAGATCATGTGTAACATCCTCCTTCTTGTAAATCAGAAAGGAAGATTATCTCTATATAAAAAAATTAATTTTGGTTCTGATTTTTAATATAAATGTAAAGAACATAGTATTCAAACGTAAAAAATATTTGTTGGCCCTGAAAAGGGACGATTGTTATGTGAGGGTGAGTATGGAAAATTTAAGCTTTCTTTTCGGTTTTCTTGGGCAAGAGAACAGCTTGGATGTTGGGGAGAACACCACCCTGAGCGATGGTGACTCCAGAAAGAAGCTTGTTTAATTCTTCGTCATTTCTGATGGCGAGTTGGAGATGACGGGGGATGATTCTCGACTTCTTGTTGTCACGAGCTGCGTTTCCGGCCAACTCCAAGACTTCGGCAGCCAAGTATTCCATCACAGCTGCGAGGTACACTGGAGCACCAGCACCGACTCGCTCGGCGTAGTTTCCTTTGCGCAAGAGACGATGGATACGACCGACTGGGAACTGGAGTCCGGCCCGGTTGGAGCGGGTCTTTGACTTTCCCTTGGTTTTGCCACCTTTGCCACGTCCTGACATTTTTGATTTAGTTTTAGGTTAACGAAGTAAACACAACGAAGAATACAAAGCGAATGATGTTCTGCGCCAGAAATCCGCCTATTTACGCTCTCCCCACAGGTCACCCCCTCCACTGCGCTCCCCTCTCTTTTTCGTGAGTGGCAGATGGTTGCAGTGAGTGCCCGCACCAATCAAAATGCCGCAGTCGGACATAAATACGGTGCCGCCAGTGTGCAAAATATCAATTCACCCTGAATTGCCTTTGTGTTCAGACGTATTTTCTCTGAAAACAACCATGCCTCCTAAAGCAAGTGGCAAAGCTGTCAAGAAAGCCGGCAAGGCTCAAAAGAACATTACCAAGACCGACAAGAAGAAGAAGCGCAAGAGGAAGGAGAGCTATGCCATCTACATCTACAAAGTGTTGAAGCAAGTGCACCCCGACACTGGAGTCTCCAGCAAGGCCATGAGCATCATGAATTCGTTCGTGAACGACATCTTCGAGCGCATCGCTGCCGAATCTTCCCGCTTGGCCCACTACAACAAGAGGTCCACCATCACCTCCCGGGAGATCCAAACTGCCGTCAGGCTTCTCCTTCCTGGTGAACTCGCCAAGCACGCCGTCTCTGAAGGCACCAAGGCAGTCACCAAGTACACCAGCTCCAAGTAAATTCTGTCCACTCTGAACAAAACAATCGGCCCTTTTCAGGGCCACAAAATCTTTTTACGAGAGAATTATTTAGTTCTAACATTATTTATTAAATTAAGTTTTTTTAAAAGTGTTATTCTTCTTTTTATGGTTTTATAATAAGTTTTTGCTTACACTGAAAAAAATTTCTAGTAGGTTTGGTTTCTTTTTAACTATTCTGCGTGATTCAATAGGTCCTCAACTGAATTTAAAAAGTTATATTGACTACCGAAAAATAGTAAAAGGAACTAAGAATGTAGTTAGTGTAATCAGATTTTGTAGTTGTTCTTATTACTTTTTTTGTAAGTAACTACTTTTTTTTGTCATCATCCTTAGTCTTAGTTGAATTGTATTTAAATTTTTTTTAATCTTATTTTATGGTATAGTAACAAAATCGTTATAATATTATATGATATAGGTAGTAACGCTTAGCCTGATTATCTTGTCAAATTGTCTTTTATCTAATACATAAAACAAAGAAGTTATTCTTTACCATAAGTTCTATAATTCGATGTGCAGAGAAATTTCATTGTTTTGCTATATAGACGGTAGGGGAGAGTGGGGCAAAGGCATTATGCGGGGCAAAGACGTATTTTAAAATATCTCCTTTATTTTCTGTCTATTCCAATTGGTATTAAAAATTAAGTTGCAATGCAATCAGACCAATTGATTAAAAAAAGAAAAACCTAAAAATATCAAATATTTTAACAAATATAACAAAAAACTTGTTTTGCAAAAATAAAATGATAATTTTACTGAACAAACTTTTATTTTTTAAAACATAAGCGTGTGGGGCAAAGGCATTTTTTGCATTGTTTTTAAATTTCATTAAATAATGTATTATTTATTTTACGATATATTTAACAAAATTCACATCTGTTGTATTGATTGAAACAAAGTTTCTAATTCATAAGAAAAGAATAACTGTATATTTTAAAGTTAATGAAATGAATTATCTGAAATCTTATGGATAATATCTGCAGTTTAATTTGTATTAGTGTATTTAATTATTCAACTTTTAAAGTATAATATTAGTCAGTATTTTGCTTTAAATTATTTAAAATTAAATATTGTTCTGACGAGAAATAATTATTCGTCTCTTCTAAACAGAAAATATTTATTTTAGGCTATATAAAATAAAAACGTAATATTAGGATGTTGCGACATCATTTCATTTTTTAGAACATGAAATAACGTGTTCGTTATTTTATTTTTAGAGCCGTTGTTATTGCCTACAGAATAACTGCAAACGCAATATAAATGTATACAAGGTAATTATCTATTAAAATTTTTTTGATTAAAAGTATAAACATTATACAATTTAAACTGCATACGATAAAACTGTTTAGGTATTAAGTTAATAATATTTTATTAAAAAAATATTGCTTTGAATTAAATTGCATGCGAGGAAACTGTAAACGTATTAATTTAGAAATAAATTCAAATTTCAATACCTTTAAACTGCATACACATCAAATGTATGCAACCAAATTCTCAGTATATTGAGTATTACATTATTGTTTCTATAAGGTTAGCAAATATATTTCATTAGTATTACGCTGACATCAATTTTTAAGAAAATAAAATTACAAGTACCTAAATCAAGAATTTGAAAATTAATAAAAATGTCAGCGTCATAAATAAAAATTTCGACAAATTAAACCAACAATTTCAATAAATAGAAAGTTTTAATTCTGTATTTATGCTAAGAAAAATTAAACTTTTAAATTAACTAAGTAAATAGCCGCATAATTAATAACTTCTATCGGTGTAAAATTTTACAGCAATAATGCCTGTAAATTTCAAGTGTAGTGCTTCATGGTTTGAATTTTTAACATGACGTTTTGAAATTAACTAAATAGTAAGAAAAATGAAAAGTATCATTTTATGTATGTTTAGAATCCATTAGAGGATCCTAACCCTTTCCATTAATGAAATTTGAGTTATCTGAATAACAAGACACATTTACTTTATTCGTAATCTTATGCCTATTCTCAAATTATAGTAAGAGTGCTCTGAAGTTATCTAAATAATAAGAAAAATAAAGCTGTATTATAGTCTTTAGGCTCAATAACAAGTAAATTCTAAAATGTCTGCTCATAATAAATGCCCACGTAAAGAAATGTGTTGGCCCTGAAAAGGGCCGATTGTTTTGTTTGGTGGAAAGAATTAAGCGCGTTCTCCTCGGATACGACGGGCCAACTGGATGTCCTTTGGCATGATGGTGACTCTCTTGGCGTGGATGGCGCACAAGTTGGTGTCTTCGAAGAGACCGACGAGGTAGGCCTCGCTGGCCTCCTGGAGGGCCATCACGGCGGAGCTCTGGAAGCGCAGGTCGGTCTTAAAGTCCTGAGCGATTTCACGGACTAAACGTTGGAAGGGCAGTTTGCGGATGAGGAGCTCGGTGCTCTTCTGGTAACGACGGATTTCACGGAGAGCGACGGTTCCGGGCCTGTAGCGATGGGGCTTCTTCACTCCACCGGTTGCAGGCGCGCTCTTTCTCGCGGCCTTGGTGGCGAGTTGTTTCCTCGGTGCCTTTCCACCGGTGGATTTACGCGCGGTTTGCTTGGTACGAGCCATTGCTACGAAGTTGAGAGTTCGAGTGACAACTGAAAAATAATGCTTTCGGCGGCAAAAACACACATATTTATACCCTTCAAAAGCTCTTGCACCAGTTAGTCAAGAGGAAGGGGACACTGACATCCTGATTGGTCGGTCAGATTGTGGAGGGGAGCAGTGGAACTCCAGAGGGAATAAAACAGCGCCCCTTCACCGCGAAGCATCATTCCAAGTTTGTTTTCTGTTCTGTTCAAACGTAAACCTTATTCTCTGTGAAAATGACTGGTCGTGGAAAGGGAGGAAAGGGATTGGGAAAAGGAGGAGCAAAGCGCCATCGTAAAGTGTTGCGAGATAACATCCAAGGCATCACCAAGCCCGCCATCCGTCGTTTGGCTCGTCGTGGTGGAGTGAAACGTATCTCAGGATTGATTTACGAAGAGACCCGTGGTGTCTTGAAAGTGTTCCTTGAGAACGTGATCCGTGACGCCGTCACTTATACCGAGCACGCCAAGAGGAAGACCGTCACCGCCATGGACGTCGTCTATGCTCTCAAGCGTCAAGGCCGCACCCTTTACGGTTTCGGCGGTTAAATTCACTCACTATCATCCAAAAAACAATCGGCCCTTTTCAGGGCCACCAAATTTTTTTACGTTTGAATACTTTTTTCAATAACATAATTCAATGATAAAAGCATTACAGTGCAATCGATCAGTGAGTTATAGTGAATCACGTACTAGTCTTATTTGATGCATAATGCTCTTGTTTACGAAATTCACGAATATTGCCTATTTATTTGGTTTGCAGAAGGGAAATTGGTAGGGGAAGGAAAAGTGGTGAATTTCACTTTCAAGCTTAATTACGAAAAGAGCGTCTTATTTCCTTATTGGCTAATTATTTTTCTTTTCTCACTCACTAATAGATTGTGAAAGAGATGGAGATCGAAAACGAGGTATGAGTGAAGGGTTTAAATTTTATCGTTGTTCTTCTTTATATAGAAGGTGCATAAGAGAGGTGAATAGCTAAGAAGGTAACCCTTACGGGTCGTCCATAAATCTCGTGGATAATTTTTCATCAATTTTTACACACCTCCCCCCGCCTCGCGTTGTGAACAATCGTGGACATTTGGCAAACCCCTTCCCCGCTTTACACTTGTCCACGTGAATATTGCACATTTAAAAAATAAGTATTTTTTTAATGTTACTCCTGCATATTAAAAACTAATAAAGCTTATTTTTAAACATATTTCAAAGCAACAAATTACAAAAATGATTAAAATAATAAATAAACACTATAATTTAATTAAACTCTTAATTTTTTTATAATTATTATGTTAGAATATTAACACCATAGTCAGCCGTGCAGAAATTTTCCTAACAGGGCCTTTTTAGGCTTATTGAAATTTTTTAGAAATCATGGTCCTGTTTATAATTAAAATTCTACAAAAATTTGATCACTATTATGTTACATCCGAAGATATAACATAGTTTTAAAAAAAAGTTAATAAATAATTTATTAACTAGTTATTTGAACCTAGACTAAAAGTCCAATAGTTTGGGAAACTATTAGTAGAAACTTTGATTAATTAAATTGTCTTTGGTTGTGTAAAAAATAAGAGAAAAGTTTTAAAGAAGGAAGAAAAGAAGCTATCGAAAGAGAATTGAAATATATAGTCTACGCGCTTAATAAAATAATGTTAGCAATTATCTTTAAATAATCGTAGTTTACTTATCACAGAAAAAAGCTGAACTCATTTTTGTTGCAACTCATTATGAGTTCGGTATCAAAATGAGTAAACGACTAACTTCAAGTTACTCAAAATCAGTCTTACCCGGATCAAATATCAGGTTATGTTAGTTTTTATAGAAATTGAAAATTTTAAGAATGTAATGTTAACAATAATTTGTTAATTATATCATTATTATTAAAATTAGAAAGATTATGTTATTTTTATATTATTTACAATAATGATGTTCAATTCAAAATTTTTTAGTATATATGAAATTATAATTTTAAGAATCTTTTAAATATATTTTAAAATATATTTATCTATAGAGTTTCATTAGCTGCCATTCTTTATAATAAATACTTATTATAATGTTCATATTACAGAATTTTAAATAGTTTTAATTTTAAATTTGGCGTCATTATCTTTGGTTTCTAGGCAGTATTAAAATTTTTGTATTTTATCTTGCATGGTTGGTATTGATACTTATAAATTTACAAGTTCTAACCTAAAAAAAATTGTTTTCAATTCTCCAAAAATACAATGAATCGGATTTTAGAAACAAAGTTTTTCCCGGTCCAATCTGTTTGTTTACTCATTTTGAGTTCAGTTTTTTCTGTGTTCTTGTATTACAATTAAAATAATTTTAACATATATTAAATAAGTAGAAGACTATTGAACAAGAAAATCAGGCTTCTCGTTACTATTTCAAATACTATTATAATGGTTTTATTATTATACCACAAAGTAATTCTTAAAAAAAATTTAAAAAAACTATAAAAGAGAAGGAGATATATAATATATCTTGAATGCTGCTCAAATATATACATATTTAATATATTTAGGTCTATAGTACAAAAAAATGTCTGCGAAAAAGAAAAATATTGTTTTAAAAGTATATTAAACCACATAATAATGATAATCATAAATTGTTATAAATTTTCTATTATTCAACTACACATTTAGCCACGCGCCATTAAACTACATTGAGAGTTAGAACTCAAACCTAAATTAAACTGCTTTTCACGCCTTCAGTTTATATTTACTAATGAAATAATTTAAATACTTCACAAGAGTGATAATTAAAGCGTTGATATTAAAACTCAAATCTTTAAAAAGTCAATTTGTTAATATGTTTTTAACAATTTTCAGAACTTGTATCCTCCGTACATTTACATCAGAGGTCCGGAAAGTGTTGTTTTTTGCAGGAAACTACCACAAAAATAAAGAATATTTTCAAAGAACCAAGAAAGACAATATTCGTGCAAGTGAAATTCAATATATTATCAAAACGATAAGTATAATTTAATCATTAAAAAATATAAAATCTTTTGAATGTGGTTCGCAAGCTAGCGAAAATTCAAAAGGTAGACGCCCAACGAGCGTCGGGGTCTTTCTTCAACGTTCGTGCGCTTTACTAACACCCGACTCTCTTCGAAAAATGGTCACTTCAGTCTCACAAGTCACGTTGAGAGCATCACTGAGTTTACTTGAACTTTTTCGAAAACCACTTTAGTAAAATGGCAGACAAAGTAGAATCCCCAGCCGCACCTGCAGTGGCGACTCCGAAGAAAGCAGCCAAGGCGCAGAAGCCCCGCGCCAAGGCCAGTCACCCGCCAGCGTCGGAGATGGTGAACGCGGCCATCGCGACTTTGAAGGAGAGAGGCGGCTCTTCGCTCCAAGCCATCAAGAAGTACATCGCCGCCACCTACAAAGTCGACGTCGAGAAGCAGGCTCCCTTCATCAGAAAGTACCTGAAGGCTGCAGTCGCCAGCAAGGCTCTGATCCAGACCAAGGGCAAGGGCGCTGCAGGGTCCTTCAAGTTGAACGTCGCCAAGGCCGAGGGCAAGGCCAAAGCCAAGCCCAAGACCAAGACTGCCGCCAAACCCAAAGCTGCTGCAGCACCAAAGGCCAAGAAAGCAGCTTCTCCGAAGAAGGCCGTGGCAGCCAAGACCAAGAAAGCCGTCGCCGAGAAGAAGAAGACCCCGAAGGTTGCGGCCAAGCCACCGAAGGCCAAGTCCACCACCGCCAAACCCAAGGTGACCAAGGCTGCTCCCAAGAAGGCGGCCAAAGCTTCGCCCAAGAAAGCTGCGGCACCCAAAGCGAAAAAGCCTGCGGCAAAGAGGGTTGCCAAGAAGTAAAGTGAAAAGAAATTGATAGTGGATGATTGAAAACAAACGGCCCTTTTCAGGGCCACCAATTGCTTTTTACGAAAGAATTTTCTTTGTCTCAAACATAAGTATTTTAGAATGATATATTAGAATTAGCCAATATGGAAATAATTTTTATTTTAAGTTGTTTTCTAATCTTAAATTTTCTTGTTCATAAATACTGTACAGAATTAGGGTTGACACAGGCCAGGGAATTCAGGGAAAGTAGAATTAGGTAATTTATTTCAAATTTTTCTGAAATTAGTTAAATGTTTTATATACAACTAATTAATTATTAAAAATAATGAATTTATAGTAGAATTTTAGTTATAAACGCTAATTTGCATTTTGCAGAAGTTACAAATGACTAAAAATTCAAATATGTTAAAAAATTTATTACAATTCTAGTTAATATTTCAATTATTTTTATAGGATAAGTGCACTAGTTCATGTGGCATTTCATCCAAGATATCTTTTGCATATAAAAAAAAATATTACCTAGGTATTCAATTATTTTCGTAAATAATAAAATTCTTAGAAATTATTAGAGTTAATTCAATTTTAATCGAATTACTCGAAAAATGTAGGTAATTATGCTTACAAATTTTATTAAAATTAGTCCAAAGAATTTAATGATTTGAAAATGTATTGATAAAATTTTTTATAAGAATTCAAATTTGAGAAACATTAAATTATTCAATAAATTGTTTATTTTTGTAGGGTAAGGGGCCCTAAGGTGTCCACCCATCTTTTGAACACTTTAATTCCTAAACGGTATTATATAACATAATTAATAATATATGCCCTAAAACTGTTTGCAACAACGCAACTGAAAAAGGAACCGAATATTTCTATTCTTTAGTGTTCTTGGGTAAAGTTGTGGTCAACACAAATTGGCCTCAACTGGGATTTACCAAAGTATTTTATTTTTATAAAATGAAATTTAATTGGATTGTCAGATTTAAACCAATAAAAAATTTAAGAAAAATCAAACTAATATTTAAAATATCCTGCGTGGAAATTTTCCCAAAGGCCAATCTGTACCAGATGTGGGTTGGCATATAAGAAAAAATAAAAATATCAGTTAATCAATAAATATTTAAGTAGTATGTATAAATGTAAAGAACATAGAATTCAAACGTAAAAAACTCTTGTTGGCCCTGAAAAGGGCCGATTGTTTTGTGAGGGTGAGTATGACAAATTTAAGCTTTCTTTTCGGTTTTCTTGGGCAAGAGAACAGCTTGGATGTTGGGGAGAACACCACCCTGGGCGATGGTGACTCCAGAGAGGAGCTTGTTCAATTCCTCGTCATTCCTGATGGCGAGTTGGAGATGACGGGGAATGATTCTCGACTTCTTGTTGTCACGAGCTGCGTTTCCGGCCAACTCCAAGACTTCGGCAGCCAAGTATTCCATAACTGCGGCTAGGTACACTGGAGCACCTGCACCAACACGCTCGGCGTAATTTCCTTTGCGCAAAAGACGATGAATACGACCCACTGGGAACTGGAGTCCGGCCCGGTTGGAGCGGGTCTTTGACTTTCCCTTCGCCTTGCCTCCTTTGCCACGTCCTGACATTTTCTATTTTGTGTTGAATTAACGAAGTAAACACAACGAAGTATTCAAAGAGAATGATGTTAATGCCTCTAAAATCCGCCTATTTATGCTCTCTACATAGGGTCCCCCTCCAGTGCGCTCCCCTCTCTGTGCCGTGAGTGGCAGATGGTCGCAGTGAGTGCCCGCACGAATCAAAAGGCTACACTGACACTGCAGGCGAACATAAATACGATGCCGTTACCTGCCAAAAGCATCAATTCACCCTGAATTGCCTTTGTGGTCAGACGTACTTTCTCTGAAAACTAACTATGCCTCCTAAAGCAAGTGGTAAAGCCGTGAAGAAAGCCGGCAAGGCTCAAAAAAATATTACCAAGACCGACAAGAAGAAGAAGCGCAAGAGGAAGGAGAGCTATGCCATCTACATCTACAAAGTGTTGAAGCAAGTGCACCCCGACACTGGAGTCTCCAGCAAGGCCATGAGCATCATGAATTCGTTCGTGAACGACATCTTCGAGCGCATCGCTGCCGAATCTTCCCGCTTGGCCCACTACAACAAGAGGTCCACCATCACCTCCCGGGAGATCCAAACTGCCGTCAGGCTTCTCCTTCCTGGTGAACTCGCCAAGCACGCCGTCTCTGAAGGCACCAAGGCTGTCACCAAGTACACCAGCTCCAAGTAAATCTTGACCACCATTCTCAAAAAACAATCGGCCCTTTTCAGGGCCAACAAATATTTTTACGAAAGAATTATTTGGTTCGAAATGTGTTGCAGTATTAGGACTACCTTTCTGATAAGTCACATGTTGACATTGCAAATTTGATAGTCAGGGTGGCCACATGTCAGTAAAGTCAGGGAAAAAATATTTTGTCAGTAAAGTCAGATAAATGTCAGGAAAAATTTTTTTATCAGGGCAATTAAAGAAATTAAGACTGTCATGCAATACATTTTTTGCTCTAAACAGAAAAATTTTTGTCAGGGAAATTCGTTGTTTTGTCAGTAAAATGTCAGGGAAATTGATAAAGTCAATCTTGCGGCCACCCTGATAGTATGCAGTTGAAAATCTTGATATTAAGGAGGATGGTGACTGTCTTTTCGGGGCAGGCGGCGAGAGGGGAATTCACATGCTTTTATATGGGATTAAAACTGCAATACCAACTGTTTTAATATATATTTTATAAGTGAAATATGCAATACTTAATATATTAGACATAAGAAATAGTATTATTAATAATTCCAATTCATTATTCTTAAAAAATATTTTAAAAAATAATTATTTAATTACGTAAAAAAAATTTTGTAAAAAAATTTTATGAGCATGGAGATCGTGACAACAGCGCATTCCATATGCATGCTAGAAACAGTATTGGTAACACTGAATATGATTTCATTCGTATATGATTACATTGCGACGTTGCCACGTTTCTGTGTATTATGTTAGAGAGTTTAGAGAATCTGTAATTTTACGTCAGTTTTAATGTTATTTCTAAAAATCAGGACAGTCGGTTTACTCAATTATTTTTTTAAATTATTCCAAAAGTATTAAACTTTAAAAGAGTATGATTTTTAAAAAAAGTTTAACTTTTTTACACAAGTTATTATCAAAATAGTGCACTTCACATAACACTCCCCATAAGAGCCCATATAAAAACATGCAATTTCAACAATTAAATTCTCAAAAACGGGACAGTAAAAAATTTAAAAAAAAATTGTTCTATAATTTAGACATTCTTAACAACGAGTTTTTCCAAATTTCAAAAAATTCTTAACATTTTTATTTGAGTCACCATCCTCCTTAACGACACAGTTTATTGATGTAAATATTTCTACTAACAACTAAACACATTTTTAGGTTAAGTGAAATCTTAGTTTTAATATGTAGTGTTGAACTTTAAAAAAATTATATATTTAAAAAGTTACATTTATTATTAAACTTTTATCAAATTTTAATATAATTTTACTAAACTTTATATAACTTTTTTAAATTTTAGTATTTCTGATATTTTATCAAAATTTATCTTTGTCACATTGTGTTCTACACTAGTAAAATACTTTAATAAAGTACCATAGTAATTTTTTCCCGTATATTACTGAAGTTGTCATCGACGTTCAGCATCGAAATAGTTATTTTATTCTTAGTGATGATACTTTATAAAATTTCATTTCTTTCATTCATCTAGGAAGTAAAAAATTTCTAAAGCAAAACGACGCCCAACAATGTAATCTTAGCCTTAGTCTAAGTCAAAGTCTTCGTCAAAGTTTTAGTCCAAGTCTTAGACCAAATCGTAGTCTAAGTCTCAGTCAAACTCTTTGTCGAAGTTTTAGTCTAAATCGTAGTCTAAGTCTTAGTCTAAGTCTTAGTCTAAGTAGTAGTCTAAGTCTTAGTCTTGGTCTAAGTTTTAATCAAAATCTAAGTCTCAGTAAAAGTCTAATTCCTAGTCAAAGACTAAGTCTTAATAAAAGTCTAAGTCAAAGATCAAAGTCCTTAGTCAAAATCTAAGTCATATTCAAGTCTCAGTCAAGTCATAGTCAAGTGTAAGTCAAATTCATGGTCAAGTCTTAGTCTAAGTTTTAGTCAGTCTTAGTCTAAATCTTAATCTAAGTCTTAGTCAAAGTCTAAGTCATTGTCAAAGTCTTCGTCAAAGTTTTAGTCTAAGTCTCAGTCTTAGTCAAAGTCTTCGACAAAGTTTTAGTCTAAGTATAAGTCTTATTCTAAGTCTTAGTCTAAGTCTTAGTCTAAGTCAAAGGCATTGTTTAAGTCTTGATAATAGTCTAACTGTTAGTCAAAATCTAAGCGTTAGTATAAGTCTTAGTTTTTGTCTAAATCTTAGTTTTAGTCTAAGTCTAAGTCTTAGTCTTAGTCTTAGTCAAAGTCTTCGTCAAAGTTTTAGTCTAAGTCTTAATCTTAGTCAAAGTCTTCGTCAAAGTTTTAGTCCAAGTCTTAGTCAAAGTATAAGTTATATTGTAAGTCTAAATCTAAGTCTTAGTATAGGTCTTAGTATAAGTCTTAGTAAAAGTCGTATTCTAAGTCTAAGTTATAATCTAAGTCTTTAATCAAAGTTTAAGTCTTAGTCTTAGTCTTAGTCTTAGTCTTAGTCTTAGTCTTAGTCTTAGTCTTAGTCAAAGTCTTCGTCAAAGTTTTAGTCTAAGTCTTCATCTTAGTCAAAGTCTTCGTCAAAGTTTTAGTCTAAGTCTTAGTCTTAGTCTTAGTCTTAGTCTTAGTCTTAGTCTTAGTCTTAGTCTTAGTCTTAGTCTTAGTCTTAGTCTTAGTCAAAGTCTTCGTCAAAGTTTTAGTCTAAGTCTTAATCTTAGTCAAAGTCTTCTTTAAAGTTTTAGTCTAAGTCTTAGTCAAAGTATAAGTTATATTCTAAGTCTAAATCTAAGTCTTAGTATAGGTCTTAGTATAAGTCTTAGTAAAAGTCGTATTCTAAGTCTAAGTTATAATCTAAGTCTTTAATCAAAGTTTAAGTCTTAGTCTTAGTCTTAGTCTTAGTCTTAGTCTTAGTCTTAGTCTTAGTCTCAGTCTTAGTCTCAGTCTTAGTCTTAGTCTTAGTCTTAGTCTTAGTCTTAGTCTTAGTCTTAGTCTTAGTCTTAGTCTTAGTCTTAGTCTTAGTCTTAGTCTTAGTCTTAGTCTTAGTCATAGTCTTAGTCTTAGTCAAAGTCTTCGTCAAAGTTTTAGTCTAAGTCTTAATCTTAGTCAAAGTCTTCGTCAAAGTTTTAGTCTAAGTCTTAGTCTTAGTCTTAGTCTTAGTCTTAGTCTTAGTCTTAGTCTTAGTCTTAGTCTTAGTCTTAGTCAAAGTCTTCGTCAAAGTTTTAGTCTAAGTCTTAATCTTAGTCAAAGTCTTCGTCAAAGTTTTAGTCTAAGTCTTAGTCAAAGTATAAGTTATATTCTAAGTCTAAATCTAAGTCTTAGTATAGGTCTTAGTATAAGTCTTAGTAAAAGTCGTATTCTAAGTCTAAGTTATAATCTAAGTCTTTAATCAAAGTTTAAGTCTTAGTCTTAGTCTTAGTCTTAGTCTTAGTCTTAGTCTTAGTCTTAGTCTTAGTCTTAGTCTTAGTCTCAGTCTTAGTCTTAGTCTTAGTCTTAGTCTTAGTCTTAGTCTTAGTCTTAGTCTTAGTCTTAGTTTTAGTCTTAGTCTTAGTCTTAGTCATAGTCTTAGTCTTAGTCAAAGTCTTCGTCAAAGTTTTAGTCTAAGTCTTAGTCTTAGTCTTAGTCTTAGTCTTAGTCTTAGTCTTAGTCTTAGTCTTAGTCTTAGTCTTAGTCTTAGTCTTAGTCTTAGTCTTAGTCTTAGTCTTAGTCTTAGTCTTCGTCAAAGTTTTAGTCTAAGTCTTAATCTTAGTCAAAGTCTTCGTCAAAGTTTTAGTCTAAGTCTTAGTCAAAGTATAAGTTATATTCTAAGTCTAAATCTAAGTCTTAGTATAGGTCTTAGTATAAGTCTTAGTAAAAGTCGTATTCTAAGTCTAAGTTATAATCTAAGTCTTTAATCAAAGTTTAAGTCTTAGTCTTAGTCTTAGTCTTAGTCTTAGTCTTAGTCTTAGTCTCAGTCTTAGTCTTAGTCTTAGTCTTAGTCTTAGTCTTAGTCTTAGTCTTAGTCTTAGTCTTAGTCTAAGTCTTAGTCTTAGTCTTAGTCTTAGTCAAAGTCTTCGTCAAAGTTTTAGTCTAAGTCTTAGTCTTAGTCAAAGTCTTCGTCAAAGTAAAATAATTAAAAAATCAAATAATTAAACATAATTTATAAAATATAGACATATTTATATAAAATAAATCGACGCCTCCCGTTCATATAATGCTTATTGAAAAACAAATGCAAGATCATTCTTATTCAGTTTTTAGTGCATGACAATTCTTATTCGATTTTCCGTGCAATAAAATGCTTATTCAAAATTGTGTGCAAAACAATTGCCACTGACAGAACAATAAATGTAACCCTAAATCATCTTTTTAATATTAAATTTCAATTAAATATCTGAGAATTTCAGTGCGTATCTATTGTTATTAGAAAATTTAATACTTGATTATCTCTTACGTATTAAGAAATATTGTTTAAGCAATTGTAATTAAAAATTATATTCAATTGAAAATTTTATAAAACTCATAGTGTAAGCTAATTTCAGATTGTACTTTTTAGCATAGAATTTCAGTGAATTCAAAAATTCACTGAAAAATTAAAAAAAAATAGTTGCAAAATTTGAAATTTATTGTTTCTGGCTTATAATCACAGAATCAATAGTTGCAAACTGCTTTTTTTGCTTATAAGAAGCCATTTTAAAATATTGTTAATTATTTATCCTATTTCATATACAAAATAATCTGAAGCATCAGTGCTGCCAAGCAATGCATAAGAATTTCCTAGGGTGGCCACCTTGGGGCCCTCTACCCTATTAATTAAATTAAAATGTGATTTTAGAAATTTACAACAATTGAAAATATTGAACAAATGTCAACTTATAAAGAAAGTATAGATATAATTGTTTCCCTTTTTAGTTAATTTTAGTACTAATCTTCAATATATCAATTTTTGTTTTTTTAATTTTCAACCCCTTATGTGCTTGAGACGTTAAATTGAAAATTAAAAACTTTTTTAAACTTTTTATTATAAATAAAATGTCGAATACTTTTAAAAATTAATTTTCATATCCGACTATAAGTATTAATTGATAAGTGTTCGTGACGTCTTTTTTTCGTTTCTGAAGAGGACGGCTGTGACT